AATGAAAATACCAGGGAGGCATTTTGGTTAAAAAAGGATCCCAAATTCCGCAAACAAAAACATTCTACATCCTCCTCTCCCAAATCCTGGCATGTTTTTCATAAAATTATTAACAATAGTAAGATGTCAGGTGGATTTTTCTCTTTCTCTTTCTGTGGCAATTGAAAAGTTTTTCAGGGAAAGTGTTGGGAAAATGGCAACAACTGTTTATATTCAGAAAGATATCCAACCACATAGGAAGAGATCCATAAAATCCTGTTAGTGAGAAGTTATATGAAACGATAACATGGCCCCATTCTTGCATTTACAACTATATATCAGGCTGGGGAGATGGCAGAGCAGGTGAAACACTTGTTGTATAAGCATGAGGATGGAAGTTTGATACCTCACACCCACCTACAAAATCCAGGCATGGTAGTGTGTACTCGTAAGCTCAGTGCAGGAAAGGTATGGGCAGGTGAATCCCTGGGGCTCACAGGCCCACCAGTCTAGTCTAATGACCTAGCCAGTGTCCTAGTGAGAGACCCTGCTTCAAAAACCAAGGTGGATGGGTCCTGAGGAACAGTACCCAAGGTTAACTCCTGGCCTCCACATACATACATATGCACACACGCCCCTGCACACATGCATACACACACACACACACACACACACACACACTCAGAAGGAGTGGGAGAGGGAATGAGAATTTTTAAAAAGTATATACCTACACATATTAAAAAGGATGACAAGAATACATACCAAAATGTTAGTCATAGTTATATCTGGGAAATGATAAGGTTTTATATACTGGCAGCTTTAATTTTCTTTTTAAACGAAAAGGAAAATTGAACTGAATTTCAAATACAGATTTTAAAAAGATTTAAAAAGCTAGAGATGAAAAGTATAGGAAGTGAACAAATATGATTTTAAGAGTCATTATAAAGCACTTGTATTCATCAGGTCAAATCATGTCCAAAGTGTATCTAATGAATAGAGTCTCTCTCATTAGCACATAAAAGGGCTGATATATTAATGTTAAAGCGGGTTCTACCACCTTTTTTCCATGCTAAAAGCAAAACTGGAAGAAATGCACAATGTGGATCAAGGACAGAAATAGGTGTCAGTGGCTCTGGGCTAGAATGAATCTTTTCTGTGCTGGTAATTACCTTTATCTGAGCAAATCATAATTTTTCATTATCCTAGTTTATTGATTTGGAAAAAGAATAGTGGAAAAACTACTGACTACTTTTTAGTGCTGCTATGAAAAGTCAGAGATGTCAAGGACTTTGAAAACACCCTGTACTTACACTAAAACCCACCAAGTCACAAAATGTGCTTAAGTAATTCACCATCTCTGTACCCATGCTAAGAACAAGGGAGTCAACTGACTTATCTGACTGTGTATTCAACATCCCTGCTGCTTGTGGGGTGCAGTAAACATGCATACACACATACAAACATGCATGCATGCATGCATGCATACACACATATACATTGCTGTTTTCCCTGTCATCATCCATTTCTCCACTCTGTCTTGTCAGGCTTCCTCTATAAACCTATACAGGAAAGTCTTCCACCTCTACTTGCCCAAGATGCCTACAGATCGCAATGTCAAGTAGGTCCTCATTCCCTAAGACGTGGGAATGAGGCCAGGGTGCAGAAGGTCTGGTGTGGATCTGTTCCTACCAATAAGGCATTAAGTTCCTGCTTGCTCAGGCTCCTTCCTAAGGTCTGGGATCACTGGGGTTCCTCAGTTTTCCAAGTTGTCCCATTACCTTCTGATGGGCTCCTTTGTCCCTTAAGTCAGTCACAGATGGTTTATATTGCTTGTAACCAGAAAAGCAGCTCACCTCAGAACCCTATCCACACCATCTCCTTGAGAAAACAGGAGGGCTGAAAACTATGTATTACACATGCCCTTGTACATATATAACCTTGAGGATAGAGTCCCACCCCTTTTCTTACTCACCATAGGAAGAGGCTTGGCCTCCTGGAACATTATCTCGAGCCATCACAGAACAGTACGCACTAGGGTAATCTCCTGACCCTAAAACACAAGGACTATGCTTTTGTAGCCTCGTGTGGTAGCTACTAGCCTCATGTGGCAATATAAACTTAAAACCAGGTCAATTAAATCAAACCAAATTCAGGTCGTTGCAATTCTAATTTTAACTTGGACATTGAACTAACATAGCTTGAACAATTGTGACTAGGACTATTTCATGGCCCAGAGCCTTACTCACAATTCTTTCCACGGGCAAGTCAAACCCTTTACTTGTTTGTTGCAACATCCATGGGTTCTCTAGGTAAATATTCAAATGTGAGACCCTAAGGGCCTTACATGTTCTAGAAACTATTAGAAGTGAAAAGGCCTTCTCTTCTTCCTCCTCCTTTTAAGGAATGCACTAAGAAAAATCCCTAAAACTGTTTAATATTGGTAGAAGTTATAGGATGTATTTTATTTTGGTTTTTATCTAATTGAAGCAAAGATAAACCTGCATAAAATGCAATGCATTGTCAAGAAGTGTTCTTTTTTTTTTTTTTTTTTTTTTTTTTTGAGACAGGGTTTCTCTATGTAACAGCCTGGTCGTTCTGGAACTCACTCTGTAGACCAGGCTGGTCTCAAACTCACAGAGATCCACCTGTCTCTGCCTCCCAAGTGTACCACCACTACCTGCCCCCACCCAAGAAAAAACTTTCTTAAACTATAATTAAAGGTTACAGAATCATTAAAAGTTTTAAATAAGGTTTTTTAATGAAATTAATTTTAAAATGTCAGTTCCAGATGAGCTCGCCCCTGACTTGGGGATGTTACTCCACGTTTGGAGGGCTGGGGTGCTCTAGGGTCCACATTTGCAAAGAAATGCTACAACTAACTCAACAGATGTTTGTATGGATAAGGTGATGGTGTATAGTTCAAAGCTCTTGGAAGAGTGTCTGAAACTCAGAGAGCTGATCCAAACTAGTGAAGAGAATTTAAGTTCCCATAGAGCCGGGTGAGAAAGCAGGAGTCTGGAGGTAACCAGGTAGCGTAAATTGCATCCTGCTCTTCTAATTTCCTAGTCTGCTGACAAGGACTGCACTGGATTTGGCACCAGATACACAGGTCCCCTATGATGGCTTGTGATGTTGACTTTCTTTCTTCTCCATGTCAACACCATCACCTCTACTCCTCTCTGCCTGGGCATGGCATGAGCCTTCCTTCTGGAGCTGCTGTTTTCAAAACAAGCCAGCACTATGAACACTCTGGGTTGCTCTTAAAGGGCAGGGAAGCTAACAAATGAAAAGGCAGGCACAAGCTTCGTGTAGGAGCTTTAGGCTAGAAAGACGAGGGCTTGACTCACCTCTCCTCCCACTTCCTTTGGGTTTCTCTTGCTTTAGGCTTACTGGCATGCTAACCACTGAGGAAAATCAGTTGAGTTCAGGAGTGGATTTTATTTTCCTTCCAGCAAATCTCAGAGGCCTCATAATGATCAGCACGTATAGAGCATGAAGAGACCCTGAATATGTTAATTTTACTTTACAAAACCGAAGATGAGCTAGAAAGAATACATAATATAGGTAAGACTCATTAAGCTGTCACTACTGGAAATATAGTTTCCAGGCAAATAAACACCCAAATCTCACTCTTGCAGCTTCCTTTGAGTAGTGCATTCAACTCAAATCTCCAATCCTCACACATTCTGTTGACTTCAAAGAGAATTACGGGTGAGCAAGAAAATGAGAATGAGGTAGGACAATTATAATTTTCAAAAAGGAAAACATGGCAACGTTGATTGGGTTGCTCAAAAAAGAAATAAAGAGACAATCTCCTTGAATATATTTAACTGCTCAAAAAGGGCAAAGTGTTCTGGGGGGAGGTCTAAGTTTTTGTGGCTTTAGAAATGAGCAGAATTGGAAAACATACTTTCAAGTCTTTTCCGAAATCAAGGTAAAAATTCATTCACAAGTTCACTTCTGTTATTCAATTTAACATTTTGAATGCGTACGATACCAATATTTACCAATAGGTTGGTTCACACCATCATTGAAAAGTTGCCATAAACCAAACGCAGTCTTTGAGCCACCTAATGGGCTGTCCTGAGACATTTCAAGTATTGTATGTTTTAAGACAATGTTACATAACTGTAATCAGAGGGTGGGGGGGGTATTATCAACCCAGGAAGAGATGTCGGCCTGGCCTTCCTGAGTGCATGGTTTGGGTTCTGTTTGTCTTCCCTGACACCCAAATTGCAGACTGATTGACATTGTAAGGTTTTAAGAAATGGTGGGATCTTCAAGGGGAAATTAGTCATGGAGGTGCTCTGCTCACACACAGGTTAGTGTCTCTTTCTATGGGGCAGGGCTAAGTGACTTCTCACTCTGTGTGACTGACCAGTCACTGTGAGCTGTTAGGAAGCTAAGCCACTCTTGTATTTTTGCACATGCTTGCTTACCTTTCTGCTTTTGTCATTTAATGACACAGTGCAAGGTCCTTGACAGATGCAGCTGCCTGGTTCCCAAGATTTCCATCCTCCAGAACCGTGAGATATATATCAATTTATATCAACTTCCTTTATAAATAGCCCAGTGTTGGAAATTCTGTTCTAGCAATGGAAAAATGGACTGAGATGCTCAAGTAAACTGGCTTATAGTTTATACAGTTACTAAAAGTCATAGACAAGGAGCCTAGGAGATGGTTCAGCGGTTAGGAGCACTGGCTGCTCTCTTGGAGGACCCAGGTTCAATTCCCAGCACCCATATGACAGATCACAGCCATCTAACTCTAGTTCCAGGATCTTACACCTTCACACCAATGCACATAAATTAAAATTAAAAAAAAAAACAAACAAGCCCACAGATAAGAAAAGGCTGATGTCTGTCTGTATCAGGGAAAATGGTGGTGTCTCAAGGTCTGATAATGGGAAAAACTGAGCACTGCCTAAGCCCTGACTTACCTTCAGGAGATGGAATGAAGTAATGGCCATATACGTGTGGGGTATCTCTGACAGTATATGCTTACCACAGCAAAAGGATATTGGGCCACCAGGGCAGGGCAAAGCTGGGCATTTGGCATAAAAACACAGTGCATCATAACAAAGTCGTTTAAAACCGCATCTGGAAGCGTGAAGAGAGAAGAGTTAATTCTTGTAGTCCTCTCCGGGGCAGCAAGGGGATCTATTCACTTGTTCCTAAGGGTTAGTTTAGGCATGCTGTTCTGTGTGCGGGTGCCTTCATCTGAAATTAATATGCAGACATATTAATCTCATATTAAATTAACATGCAGATCAAAATTCTACTTCTTAGGACAATGAACAAAAATATTAAAAACAAAAGTCAGCCTTGTATAAACAGCTTTAGTCGCTATAACCACAAATGCATTTGTTTTTCTGTTACTTTACAAATACTAGGCAATTCTATCATGAGCTTTCACACCAATCTTTATATCTATATCTACATATATGTTATTTGTATGTTAAACATGTTTGTATATTAAAGAAGTATATTGGGCAATAGCATAATGCTGAAGTAACACATAGCCATTTCTCTATTTTATACCACCTTTATTGCAATATCTCTTTCCTTTTATCTTTGTTTCTACCCCCTTCCAGAAGGAGCAGTATGTGTGAGAGGGGGATACAACTATGGGGAAATGGAGACTGTTCACATGAAGAATCGGAGGGCAGAGGGTATCAGCCAAAACAGACACGATAAGGCCTGAGAGCTGTGCTGGAAGTGGCTAAAGCCAGTGGATAAGAACAGTGAGCTGCTCTGTGATGGCAAGGGAAGGAAGGCTTATCTCAGGACAAGTCCTATTTAGTTCATCAGTGATACGCATGGTGCTTCTTTATTGCAGGGATGACATTATTTGGGTAATCTTGATGGGAAGGCATGTGGAGACAAACCTAAAGGCCCCAAAAGGAACTTTCCTGAAACTCAGAACCCAAGATGCTTTTTCAATTAAAAGGAAAAAAGGGAGTGGAGTGGGTGGGGGTCAGGGACCTTTGCCAGCCAAGACTTGTGAAACTTCCTGAACAGAAAATAGTGGAAATGTGAAATTTTAAAATAGTTTTGCAGTGCCAATGTCTTCAGTGATATTGTATTGCAGAATCTGAGTCTATGGCTGAAGGTTTAATCGCTGCATGTTCAATCATTTTAGGATGTTGTAAAGTCAAGCTGTCATTCCTCATTGTCACTGGGCATTCTACAATGGCTCCCCGCACTCAGCCAGAGAAGATGCCAGAAAGAAGTTGTTTGGGGCTGATTTTTAATTACAGAAGGACACGGCTGGTCTGACTTTAGGGAATGCTTGCCTTTTATGCCACCCAGAAGGCCTGTGCCCTATAGTTGTTAAATTCTATTTATTTGCTTGTTTGTTTTGTGGTGCTGGGGACCAAACACACACACCTGCACATGCTAGACAAGTACTATAGCACTGAGCTACTACACTCCCAGTCCAGGAGGACTTTCCGATTTGCTAAGGCAGAGATTGGCCATGGTTCCTGAAGGCTGAGAGGTGGTCACAGCATGACCAACCTCACCCAGTCCTGTCCCCCTCTGTGTTTTGGTTTTATGACAGGGTCTCTCTACATAGCCTAGGTTGTTCTGGAACTCACTAGGTAGATCAGGCTGACTTCAAACTCACAGAGACCTCCCTGCCTCTGCCTCCCAAGTTCTGGGATAAAAGGTATGTGCTACCACATCCAACCTCAGGTTTCAATGTCTTCCTCTCTACTCATACATAGCAACTCTTGAAAATTTATTTCAAAAAATAATCTTCTGGAAAATGCTTTTTCAGTACTTTGATGACCGATGTTGGTCATAGAAGTCACTAACAGATCTTAAGTAGGAAAACTGATGGTCTGGAACATGAGGAGGATACACCATCATAGCCAGTGGTGTTCATTTCCATAGCCACACATAGGCTTCACTGTACCCTCCTATATTGTAGATCCATAAACTCCTTCCTTCCCATCATATCCACAGTTAATGTACCTGAGCTAGGATTATTTTTCATGTCTGCAGCAGTAATGGGGATTACTTGTAAAAAAAAAAAATCAGAAAAACTGCAAATAATGAAATATTATATTAACCAGTGATGCTAGCTTCATCTCTGACATCAAAAATCAAAGGGCCAGAAATCACATCCTTCGTGCTCACCAACTGCTAATTTCCAACCTTTTTCTTTTCTTTTTCATCTATGGGTGGGGGGAGAGCTGGGGCTAGGACCCAGGGACTTGTCTACGCTAGAGCTGACTGTAAGGGTACAGTTTTTCCACCCGCCGCCCGGTCTTGTCCCGCCGCCGCAGACTCTGTATTTGATATGATGCTGTTGGCCAGGTACTAGTTTCTTATCGGCTAGCTCTGCCTTAAATATTAACCCATTTCCGCTGTTCTATGTATTTCTATTACCGGGGAGCCGGCCAGCATTCTGCTTTCTCCAGACTCTCCATCTTGGCCCTTCCTTACTACTTCCTATTTCCTCCTTGTCTCCTAGTCCCGCCTATTTTGCTTTCCTATTGGCCAACAGTGCTTTATTCATTAACCAGTATGAGAAACATATATACATAATGATATCTCCCATCACTCGACCACTGAGTTAAGTCCTTGGTCCATCCACTTTCTTTACTAATCCCGGCCCCTACCTTCCTAAGAGGCAACCAACAAAGGGGTACCTTTGTTTTCTCCCTGTTGTGTCTTAAATATTCTTTCTTCAGATATAATGAGGTATGAAACCATACCAAACCACACCATACTACCCACCCCACACCATCCTACCTCACCCCATATCACTCCACCCCACCCCACCCACACTATACCAACCACACCACACACACTACAATTGCTAAAACACCAGGCTGTTCCTTTGGGTCACTACTCATTTTAGGAAAAAAAAAAAAAAAAGAAAGAAAGAAAGCAAGAAAGAAAGAAAGAAAGAAAGAAAGAAAGAAAGAAAGAAAGAAAGAAAGAAAGGAGTTCCTTGCATTATTTAATGATATATCCTGGGCAAAGAAAAAAAAAAATCCCACCTACATTTTTCTGATCTCTGGCCTTAGAGTTTATTTGGGCTTACAAATGTCTGTCAGAGGAACTTTGTTGTTGTTTGTTTTGTTTGTTCCCAAGCAAAGCTTTCTCTTTTTTTGCTGAGACATTTTCAGCTATTTCCTGCTACTTTGTTTTTAGACCCCGGAAAAATCTGTGCCCAAATTCTTAGACCTTCCTGGTCCATGTATGGGTATCAAGAAGAGCAAGGCCCAGACTCCTGGTCCCTCTTTCCTTCCTTCTACGCCACTACTAATTTTGTCTCCTGGGATGGAAGGCTTTGTCAAAAACTCTAGTTATTGATCACCAGCTTTCTCTCAAGGCCACTTTGAAGTCTAAACTCTCAGAGACATTTTCTCGAGTCTTCTTTTTCAGAGCCCCCAAAGCACTGACCACACCCTGCCTTAAATTCAAGCTGTTTGTACATTTTTTATTATGTCTTCCAGCACATCCTAAGCTTCTGAGGGACAGAGAACAATCTCTTGTTTACATCCCCTGACACAAGGCATCCATCAGAGATCCTACCTGGATGGGCTCAACAAACCCTTCTCTGAGAAGAACAGGCCTGGGGCCTGGGGCCGTGGCTTTATGTCAATTACTCCCCAGGTCATTTGATGCTTTGCAAAATCTCAGATAATCAATTCACAGGAACTGGGAGGAGATTAAGAAGTCAGTGGCAACATACTCATAAGAAATACATAATAATGGTGTCTTCATCTTGGGTATATTGCCAAGATCAGCTGTTAAGTGGATTTTGAGCTACAGCTAAGTTTCTGAGATAAATCTGTGAATTTCTTATAGTGAGAAATGTTCTCCTGGGGAGGTGACTGCTTAAAACATTAACACATAACATTACTCATAGAGACAGGCAAGTAGCATAGGATTTTTCTTTTAATTTGAATGCCTGAACTGGCCATGTAGCTCTGTGGTATAGCACTTGCCTAGCATACCAAGGCCCTAAGCTTGATCTGCAGCATCATAAGAAAGGAAAAGAAAGGGCAGCTGTAGGCTGTTCCTTCCAATTCATCCACAATGTGGAAATGATATAATATTGGACACAACTCACTCATGAGATTTGTCTCACTTATCCTCAATACTGTGTCATAAGAGCAAGATTTGTTCACTATAAGGAAGCTTATATGTTGAACTTTGTTATCCACAAAAGATATGTGGCAGGACTGACCTCCAAATGACCCTATATGGAAACAGGGTCTTTGAAGACACCAAGTTAGAATGAATAACTAGTGTAGGTTCCAACCAATGACTACTGTCCTTTAAAAAATGGGACACTGGCCATAGAGACAGATATGCACAGAGGGAAGACAGTGTGAAGAAAGAGTCAGAAGGTGAAGACCTTGCCAGTGTGATACTGGGGTGGTATATCCACATGTGAAGGAATAACAAAAATTGCCAGTGAATACCAGAAGCTAGAGAGAGGCATGGAACAGACTCTCGCCACAACCCTCATAAGGGTATCAACCTACTATCACCGCCATATTGGATGTCTAGCCTCCAGAACTGTAGGACAACCAGATGCTATTGTCTCAAGCATTTGCTGTCAGTAAACCAATACAGGTGGTATTTAGTTCCACTCTGGAATAAGACCACACAACCACAAAGAAAACTATTTATCCCTGAGGTGGGCAGCTTCAAATGTTCTATGGGTTTAAATGACAAACTAATTCAGACACTTGGGGTGGCGAGACTGAATGGCGTTTTAACAGATGTCTGTGAAGGGCTGCCCCTAATGTGCTTGAGTGAAACTTCATCTCTCTGGGGACAGGTAAACTCAGCACCACCCTGGGGTGCTCTCTAAAAATGAGCACACGCCACACCTCTCTAGGACTGCCCTGGCAGCACACTCTGAGAGGGAATCGGGGTTCTTTCTTCACTACTTTGTACATGACTTAGTGGACACACAAAAGTCTTGTGGATGCATACCTGTTGCTTCATTCAAAGATGGCTCAAGGCGTATTGTTTCTAAAAAATGCTCTAAAATTTTTTCAGGTGTTCCTGACATCACAGTATACCTAGACAAGAGATGAAAAAGGGCATTAGTTTTACACAAGTGATCATTCACTGGAAGAAACACATTACTAGTGTATATTTTTGAAAACTGAGATCCTGGGAAACCATATGGTGACTACTGTGACTAGTATGCTCTCTGTGGTGAAGGAGACCATGTACATTGCCCAAGCACACAAGAAGGCAATAGAAACACAGTCAATTGATGCAGTTACTAAAAACGTTATCTCCCCTCCCCAATATGGCACTAAAGGAGAGTCTAAGAGAGCAGCTCCCATAGCTGAAGTTGAAGAAAGTCAGCCTTATTTCAAGGGAGTAATCCCTAGGGCAGGGCAGGGCAGGGCAGGGCAGGGCAGGGCAGGGCAGGGCAGGGGAGCTGCTGAATTAAAATGATGGTGAACTGGGTTATCCAGACATGGGTCACTCCTAGAAAATGTCAGTGTCACACTGGATTTCCCTGCCAATTTCTGGAATGTTCTGTCTTTTCCAACTGTACACTGCTATGTGCTTTGGAAATCAGCTAATAATAAAACAAAAGAAAACAAAATCCCTAAGTGCCACCAAGCAAACAAACCCAGGGAGCATCATGAACGGAAAGTAAATCAGAAATAGCAAACTATGCGCAACGTACTCAATGCCAAATATGCATTATTTTAGGGGGCTGCATTAGTCATTACTTCAGGGGCTCTCCAGAGAGTGCTGTCCAGTCAACAAGAGAAGGCTGACTTTTAAAATGGAACATGGGTGAAAGTCAGAGTGAAGACAGCAGAGAGCAGTAAACGGTACCAGGAGTAAATGGGGGTGGGCAGAGTCCATGGAGACGATGAGGGTGTCCCTCAGTCAGAACTCACACCTGGCCTTCCCGATTGGCAAAATGACAGGAAAGCAACATAACAAGGCGAAGAACATTCTCTCGTGTTCGGAAGGCAGAGAGGGAATGGAGCTCAGAGAGAGCCCAGCTTCCTTCACCTCCTCACCAGTATGTTCTCTAGCCTGTCAGAGACTACGGAGGAGGTGTGAAGAGATGGCAAGAGCATCTGCAACATCAGTAGGGTCTAACTCCTGTGAAAGGCATGGAAAAGACACGATAGCATATGATCCCTTGTATATGAAAATAGAGTGTGTGAAGCAGCCCTGGAAACTGAACTTGGGGCCTTGTGTGTGCTAGGCAAGTACTCTGCTACTGAGCAGGGTATATCAATATATGATTCACTAGACGAGCTGCCAGAGGCGGAGCACATGGCAACAAACAAGGGAATTAGGTACCCCTCCCCCTTTACTCCTGCTAGTTAATACTACCTCTGCTCTGCAGGTGGGGAAACTATTTGGCAAGCCTTAGAAAGCCTTAGAGAATGTGATAGTGTGTGGCTATTTGTTTGTTTTGTTTTGTTTGCCTATACAGCAAGATGCTCTGGGTGGAGAGAGGCCAGGCCTGGCTGCCAGGAGATCACTCTGAGCAGAAAATTCTCCATGTCATTGAGATCTTCCTCTTTGAGGGGGCTTTCCTATTCTGTTTGGAAAGCAATCTGTATTTAAACAAGAGTATCAACACATTCTTTAACTGGCCACCGAGTCAGTGGGTTACTTCACATGTAGTCTGGCAAAGGAGTGCCACTGGTAATGGGCCCCTTTGTTGGAACTTTAATTCTGAAGCAGTTTGTGTTGGAATTCCCTGAGGCAGAGTGCTCTGCCTGCTTACAGAGACTAAAGACCTGCTGCCAAGCCACACAGGCCTGCACTCAGTAGAGAGCAAGCTTCTTTAGGCTCTACTTGCCTGGCCAGTCACACCCCACAGGAGCTTTCTTGGGTACCTGACTCCCTCTAGTGGTTAGTTCTGTGGATTCCTTACCTAACCTCTAGCCCCACAGAACTCAAGAGTTTAGGCTGGTGACTGAAGAGAGAAAGAGGGCACAGAAACTTCTAGATGGCCCCAGTTCTGGCTAAAACATCAGGCTCTAGCTTTACTTCACACTGCAATAGGCAGGAGCTACTGTCTGAGTCCTCATTATGTGGGGACATCAGTGCTTGAGAGCATCATATAGGGCGACTCTTGTCAGTTTCCAGCAAGGAAAAGCTACCCCCATTCCAGTCAAAAACACTTTATATCAGCCAGGAGGTTGTCCTGAACTTGTGAGTGAGAAATCTTCCCCTTAATACCAAGTCTGTATTTAGAACAACTAAAGCAAGGGTCAGGGAGGAGGAACGGCAAAGTGGGTCTTCCTGTGACCAAGGTGGGAGTATTGCAAGGGAAATCAATCTAAGGAAAGGCTGGCTCCCACCCAGAACAGGACAGTTCTTATCTTACTAAATTCTCACAACCCAGTGCCTAAGACATCCCCACAAGGAAATGCCACAGGGAGTCTGCCATCACAGCTACTAACTTGATATTAGCATTGATGCCACACTCAGTCGGGGTTCAGTGGCTTGGGCAGAGTCAGGCAGCTTTGAAAGCTTAATGTATAGACATAACTAAGCTGGATTTCTCAGAGGAAAAAAAAGTAAGTCAGAAAAATAAGACCACCAACAAGACCATATTCTCTGAGTTAAAAGGGAATAAGGTCTGCAGACAAATACCCTTGGCAGTGTGTTTATCTGCAGACAAGGTTGTTGACATGTTATGGACGTCGATGAGAACACCAGCCATAAATTTTTACTTACAGGGACCATCCTTTTAGCTCTTATCATACTTGTCACATGACCCCTTGAGAGCTCAGCTTTCCATTCTTTAGGGAGCTGTGTGGTGCATTCTTTTGTATTCACTTAGTGACATTTCATAAACAGTTTGCTACAAACATGCCAGGGTGTATTGTCTTTGCATTATATAAGAAATTTGGACTGGATGACAGGACACAAAAGGAAAACTGATACTAAAAGAAGTGGAAAGCACCTGGTATCTTCTTTCATACTGCCTTTAGCTCGGCTTTTCATTCCACTGAATTTATAAACTGGAAGGCACTCTCAATAGAAGACTTGTAGTAAACACAGGCTTTTGATTCCTCCCTCATGTATGAAAGAGGTAAGGGAGGCCTCAGGGCATCTCTTGACCAAATGCTTCAAAGTTAAGAAGAATTTTCCAAATACCACAGTTTTCCTGAGACATAAGATGGTATTAAAGAATGCAGCCATTGCCATTGTCATCCTCCTCAGTTGGCTACAATAGACAACTGTCAAAAAATGGCTAATAACAGTGATAATAAAGGTAGGACCATAGCTCATAGCTCAATTATCTAGCACTTATGAGGCCCTGGGTTCAGTCCCTGGTACAAAAACAACAGATAAAAGCAAAGTTAATTAATAAATAATAAAGAAATATGGAAGATGCGTCTAGGGTTTTATAAGTGAAAGAACAGATTTTCACACAATTCTTTTTAATGCCACTCCCTTTAACATATATTGGTTTGCATCATTTCCCATGGAATGTTGAAGATTCAGTGTTTACCTACAGTCATCACTCTCTATCTATGGAGTTTGGTACCAGCGCACACATTGATACCAAAACACGCAGCTGTTCATGTCCCTCATACAAAATAGCATCGTATACATCTTCCCACATATTTTGATTTGCTCTAGATTACTGATGGTACCACATATTTACTGAAAGTAAATATGATACAAATAACTGCTATTCTGTATTGTTTAAGGAATAACTATAGGGGAAAACATGTGGACATGTTCAGATGTATCCCCTATTCTCTGAGTATTTTGGGGCCATGAAGCCGGGGACCCTTCTACTCTGTTTTGCTACTGCAAGCTAGAAAGCGAGAGGAGCAGAAAGCTGCCCAAGCTGACATTCCCTTTAAGGCAGCGGTTCTCAACCTGTGGGTCGTGACCCCTTCGGTCACATATCAGATAACTACATTACGATTCATAACAGTAGCAACATTGCAGCAAAAACAATTTTGTTGTCCGGTTCATAACAACATGAGGAACTGTATTAAAGGGTCGCAGTGTTAGGAAGGTTGAGAGCTACTCTAAGGAATCCCATAGGAGTTCTGAGTCCTTGAGCAAACCACTTGCTAATGAGAGCTGAAATGCCTCCATTCCTTAACAGGGGGTTTCAGTAAGTAAGGACTAGACAAAATTTGCAAAACACATTGTGCTTATTTAATGATATGTTTCCTCCTGTCGTCTTCTCAAATGTGTTGTCTTACCCCAAGGAAAACATTCGAGCCATAGGCTTTTAATGGAAACAATAGAGACACATCAGCTTTGGTGAGTGCTCTGATAAAGGGAACCCACTTTACTTGGCAACAAAGGAAAATGCTCTATCAACATGTTATTTGGTGATGTTTCTTTAGCAAACAAACATTCATTTGCTTTTCTTATACACAGATTGAAAATGAATCCCCACTTAAAAATCCAGAAGCCCCGATTTCCTAGAGGATCATTTCTAAGTCTCTTGTCTCATCACTCAAGTGTTGGTACATTTCATGAAACAGCCCTAGGTAGGGAGTTACAACAAAAGCTGAAACAGAACTCAGATGCGCTGGAAATGACTTGAGTTAAACAAGAAGCCTAAGAAATGTGAAGTGAAATATCCATTTGATGCTGGCAAAAATAAGTACCCAGGAAGTCAATGAGATAGCACACTTTATCAATTCAAAATCAGAGTTTTATATATTACCCTTAGTCACTCTAATAACAAGGTGAAATGCTTTATGAGAAATGTCCCTAGGATACCATAGATTCTCATCACTGGGGCCTGTGACACCCTGAGCTGCCTGGCATGCCTACTGGTATTGTTCTCGAGGGGTTTTCTTTTTGAAGCTATTATAGCTGAACAGTGTGGAGGGAGAGGCTTCAGAGAAGGACAATATCCTCTCTGGCATTACTCTACACAGCACCAAGCTCAATGCAGTGCCAGAAATGGATACATTATACGCCACAAGATGTGTGATTAGTCAATAGAGATGGGGGAAAAAAGTCATACACACTGCCATCTTCCACACAAAGGGAGAACATGCTATTGTAGAAATGATACCATGTGAAAAGGTTAATCATAGTCTGGCAATTACAGTGTTGGATGCAAACATACTTTTGCTGAGGCTGTGAGTTTCCTTGATTAGAAGCTCTGCTCCCCGCTGGGACCTTCTCCAGCACCAAGACATCTTGGTCATGTTCTTTAAGTCTGACTGTATTCGCCTCAACGTCCTGCAAATACAAATTATACCACATACAGATGCCGCCGTTCACTCAGACAATGACAGAAATTTCCAGTGCTTCAGAAACTCATTTGGAGCTTGTGATGTTAATTGTCATGTCTACAAATTAAGCCATTTTCAAAGTCAAGGGCTGGAACGGTCAGAGGGAGGACCAGATGAGGCTTGAAGCATGTGGTTTGATAACTCTGCTTTTTACCCTAGTCTCAGAAAAGATCCGGAGAAGCCTGGTGTGCTCTGAGAAATCTATGGGGAAGGGCATGGAGCAGGCGTTTATTCTTCCTAAAGATATGTGGCTAACAGCACTGAGCTGCGGCAGAGTCCTTCTCTGTGACCCTTAGGAGCGGCACCTCTGTCTAACCGAGCAACAGTTTTGTTTTGATTTTGATGTGTGCTGGGTGTATGTGCATCCATGTTTCTTTGTGTGCACTTCACTTATGCAAGCATGCATGCAGAAGCCAGAGGTCTACACCTCAGCTACTCTTCTCCGCCTGTTTTTTTTTTTTTTTTTTGAGACAGAGTCTCTCGCTGAACCTGGAGCTCTCCGATTCAACTAGACTGGCTGGCCGGCAAGCCCAGAGGTCCACCTGTCTCCCTTCCCAGCACTGGGGTTTCAGATGCACACCACTGTGCTTGGCTTCCTGGGTAGGTTCTGGGGATCTGAACTCAGGTCCTTCCTCATGCTTACACAGCAAGCACTTTACTGACTGAACCATCTTCCCAAGCCCATGCAACAGTTCTTTCAAAATCAAACTGAAATGTTATCCAAACCTTTTTCAGTTGTTTTGAATGGCTTTATAAATTATGTCAGTCAGCAATAAAATGGTTCAAATATGACCCTCTCAATTGATTTTTTTTTTTTTTGGCAGAGTATAACCCCATAGGTGTAAACTTTAGAGTTAGTCAAGTTCACCTAATCCTTAATATACTTTAAAATATTTACTCTGAAATTTTTACTACCTTTTCTTAATTTTCATCTCCATTTTAAATGAGACAAGGTAAGTATAAGGATAAAATTAAGTTCCTATGATATCTTCCCCTAGATTATCCATTGGTATAAACTCTATTATTACTAGTTTCATTATCATCATCACTATTATTGACAGGGTCTCATATGTCCCAGGCTAGCCTCAAAGTCTCTATGTGGCTGAGGGCTTCATCTTCTGATCCTACAGGCTTCTACCTTCTAAGTGTTGAGCTGATGTTCGTGTATGACCATTCCTGCTTCATGCAGTACTGGGAACTGAGCCCAGTTCCTCGGGCCTGCTAGGTGAGTACTCTACCAGAGGAGCCACACTTCTAGCCCTCTCAATGGCATGAACTTTAACTTTCTTTGTTTTGTGACCAAGTGTGTTAGCAGTGTCGTGAGCAGAGACCAGGGCTTCAGGCACATGGAAGGACAGGGACAGAGTGAGCTTGTCTGGTACCAGAATTTTCTTTTTTAAACATCCCACACTCTTACAGATACTTTAGAGAGCTATATGAGGCTCTTCATCAAAACCCAACTCAGGACAACTCTACTCTCCTTCACCTCCCAGGTCTCTCACCTATTTGCCAATATCTGCAACAGCTTTAGTTTGAAGCAATTTGAGATAAAGCCCTTGGATGAATATACTTTTTGTTGGTTGTTTTGTTTTTCAAGACAGGGTTTCTCTGTGTCACTCTTGCTGTCTTGGAACTTGTTTTGTTGTAGACCAGGCTGGCCTCCAACTTACAGCGATCTGCCTGCCTCTGTCTCCTGAGTTCTGGGATTAAAGGTATGCCCCATCACTGCCTAGCAAATGAATATACTTTGTTGGATCACTATAATAGGCATTGATTTCCATTAACAAGCACTGAGGAAATCAAGAGTCTGATGATTTGAGAATGGTTCACACTTGGGAAGAGATAGAATGTGGACCATAGACAAGACAGGGGGCTGAGGGAAGCCGCCACTCGGCTGAACAGAAGGGTAGAAGAGGGCATAAGAAAGGATGTACATGAGACCAGTGAGACACTTCTAAGACTGATATTTTTCTTAAGGGGACTGCTATTATTGTCCATTCATATGGACCAGTGTAGGCATGTGCAGAGGTATTTGGTCCAGCAAAATATTTGATGTCTGCAGCTGGTCTCCAGAATGTACGCCAGCACACTGAACATGCCTGTTTCACAACAAAGGCTCTTTGTTCAAGCATCTCTTTGCCAAAGTCCTGTGGGATGAACAATCCACTCAAAATCCTGTCTTATTCAAGAAGGGGAAAAATAGGATATCCTTTCCCCAAAGTCTGCTCTCTCAACTCACCCTCAGAATCCGGTTGAAATCTTCCTTGTCAACTCTTAAGAAGTGACAATTATCTTCTCGAAGAACAATGGAGGCGGCTCGTGGGGCATCATTCACGAGAGCTAACTTGCCAAAGTCATCTCCCTCGTGCAGGGTGCAGACCACACCCTGGGGAGAGCAGGACATTCAGATAAAATGGATCAAACACCCTTCTTCCTCTCCCCTGCCCCTCCAAACGCTGTGTATATAAATGGGCTGCATCTAGTATTATACAATTAAGTTAAAATGGCTCAAATTTTCTTTCTCAGAGTAAATAAAGTCACTGAATGACACAGTGCAATAATTGAGAAAATGTATGATCAAATATGAAATTATATCTTTTCTACATGGAGTAACAATCCCGTGGAAAGTTCAATTGCAGCAATGTTTGTTACTACTTAGAGGCACACTATCAAATGGAGTACAATCAAATTTCAAAAAGAAAAAGACATATATAGATATATACCTTGCCATAAATGACTACATTCACTGATCCTTTTAGAATAATGTACCAGGAGGTACCTTCTTCCCCCTGGTTAAACACTAGACACAAAAAGATGGAGAGACTTATGACAAGAATAGAAGCACATCAATATAAATTACAGCTTATCAAATCATCACTTTTCAGTCCCCAGAATTACGCATACATAAAATACAAAAAAAAAAATACTGGCAAATCCTAACTAATTCAGGTGGAATATTATTGTCTTTCTATAGAACATAAAAGGACAAGAGACTGTACTATTTGCTCTGCTCTGAAAGACAGGTTTTTACTGGGTATCAATTTACCAGCATCCACATCTTAATGGAATGCATGTTTCCCCCACAATTCATAAAGCGTTGTGCTGCAGAAAATAGGTTTTAAAAGTGACCTGACCAATAATGTGAAGTTTGGAAACATGCAAATCAGCACCTAGTAGTTGATAAATACATGTCTATACATAAGTTTTTAATTGGTTTGGATGATAAGCAATATATCCAGGGTAGGGTCACCCTTGGGGGAGATGAGAGATAGAGCAAACTAAAGGAAGGAGCAAGAGGCAGCTGGAGGGCACAGTTTCATTGTTTGTAAAAATGCTTAAACTGTAGTAGAAACAGGAGTGTTTAATAAAAATAAAATATTTTAACAGTCTACTTTTCATCCAAAACATCTATTTCATAACACAGTGAAAACAACTGGTGAGTTCAAATAGAAAGAATTAAAAGACAAGTAAAATGAATTAAATGAAAAAGAATTAAAGAGACAAAAATTTTAAAAGTGGGAATGTGATTCTAAAAAGGCAGTGAGGTGAGTTTCTTGCTGAAGGAGGTAACAGGGTTAGAAATAGTACTCCTAATGGCCGAAAATAAGGCACTTCGAGATACAATTTAAAAACCCTTCATGCTTCTATAACTCATATTTCACATTTACTTTTAACTGATGTGATGTAGCTAACAAAGAGCCACATTTTCCTGGAAGTTTGTTTAATTGATGTCAATTAACAAAGTGTTCTGTGTGTCGCCAGGTGTAGGAAGTGTCCGTTTCTATCTAGCCCTCCTTTTCTCTTTGGCGCAGAGCGCCTGAGAACTTTTGTATGCTGGTTCTGCCACAGGTTAGACAAGGGGGCATTTCCTGGCCTTAACTCCAACTGTTGAAGGAGGATTTTGAAGGACTATCAGGAAATGCCAGCTTTGGTAATACTGCTTGCATCTATTAATGTCAGAATTTCTTGCTTCCAGGACTGAAGGACAGCTTGAATTCTGGAGAGATGTACCATATGGTTAACATTGTAAGTATCTGAGGCAAAGAAATCCTCTTGTACTTGGGGCCCATGGTGCAAGGTGAAGAAGGACACGAAACAAAATACTTTAAAATGTAACTGTAAAGGGAAATTTCATAAGCCAAATTAGTTATTGTTTTTTAAAAAGTTAACTTAAGCTTTTTGTAGCTGGGTTCTATGTAGCCCAGGCTGGCTTAAAACTTGCTATGTAGCCAAGGATGATCTTGAACTTCAAACCCTTCTGCTTCCATCTCCCAAGTGCTGGGATTACAGGCATGAACCACCCTTCCAATTCCATCGACTCATTCCCCAGGGTCATGCAGTGATGGGGATTGGAACCTAGGGACTGTTTCACACATGCTAGGCAAGTGCTCAGCTACCTAAACTATCACCCAATCCCAAATTAATTCTTTTAAATCCAAAAGTTGAAATGAAGTCACCATGGAAGCTACCACCCACAATCCTGTCAGTTAGACACCCTATTGAACCAGCTGGGTAGAGCCAGGAGGACTCAAACAGGCAAGTGGTTCTGGAAAACCTTCAGATTGACGGACACAGATCCAGAAAAGCACAAGTGCCACGTGACATCCTTCCAGATTGGGGCCACCAGGGAGAGTATGGCATTGACCTTGAACAGCAGATGGCGTAGCCAGGCACAGTAATTCATTAGGGCTCTCACTTACACACAGTTCCTCCTTTAGCATGAGACTCAAAAATGAGAACACCGGCTAACTCCCGTTTCACCTAGAAGGAAAAGGAAGACTGTGGGAAGGTGAGGTCAGGGAGGAGGGACTTGTGTTTTGTGTGGGTGACCCTTAGCTGTGGTCCCCAGGCTCACCTCAAAGCTATCTCTCTCACCTTGTGTATACAAGCCCCTGTCATCCAGAGCTACTTTCACCAGACTTGCTTCTGGGATCTCAATGTCCATACTAAAACAATAGGAAAGCTTATAACAAATTCCCACCGGGCAGCCCCTTGGTGACTTTTATTTATCTTGTGGGAGGACAGGGAACAACTGGTAAGAGTTTGTTCTCTCTTTCTACCATGTGGGTTACTGGAATGGAATTCAGGTCCTTGGGTTTGTACCTACACGCGTGCTGAGTAGTTTCTTAGGCTCAGTTACTGTTTGTTTGTTTTTTTTTTGTTGTTGTTGTGATTTTTTAAAATTTATTTTTCTTTTGTGTGTACAGTGTTTGCTTGAATGTATGCCCAGGCACCACAGCTTGAGTAAGAGACACTTACTGTAGTAGAAAGATGGGACAAGGCTTTGATATGAAGGAGCTCATCGTAGATAATCTCTAGGTCATCCACAGTCCTCTGGCCAGGTCTGCAAAGAAAGACAACAATGAAATATGTTGTTATATAAGCTTCAAATAAGGAATTGGATCCAGTGGTCAGTAACATCTTCAGGGGGTTATTCTACATGGAAAGGTATTGACTGAGGGAGACATTGTGCCAAAATACCCCTAAGGGGACTGGAAATGAATGTATTCACATATTCACTAGCAGGAAACTTATAGGAGGAGTTGCATGTACACAGGCTCCCCTCCCCTCCTGTCTCAGGGAAAGAGCGGTTCTACAAGGTCATTGGTTAACTTACTTGGCACTTTTCAGATAATTATAAAACACTGCTTTTTATTACACCCTTAACCAACAATGATGGAACTTGCCTCTTTAACTAGGGACACTTGGTTGATCAACTTGACAAAGGATTCACATTCCTTGAACTCTGCTGTAGTATCTTAGCCTAATGGAAGGGTAACCCTGCTACTCTTACTGCTCTAGGTTATGCACGGTGTTCCTCTCAGAAGACTCCAATATGGATGATTTCTTACCCAATCCTAAGAAGGTATGTTCATGGGGTGAGAACAAGACAAATCACAATGTCTGGGATTTCTAAGAGAAGGAAAGGGAAATATGCCCATATATCTGAAACTCTGTTCTATGGACAACCACTGTCGATGAAGGGTTAATGATCTGTTACTGATTTTTTTTTTTAATTCTAAAGTGTACTACTATATAAAGTTAGTAATACACTTTTGATGTATGGAGTAAGAGGTCATTTTTAACATAAGAAAATGGAATAAATTCCTAACTGCCTTTTGTGTCTAAAATTATTTTAGAGCCACTAATGGCATTCAATAACATTAACGGTAAGAGATAAGATTAATCAGTATTTTGGGGGTTTTAGTGTTCATTACAATATAAGGAAGCCTTACTAACATGTTCTTGAAAGTTATAACTGGGCTATTAATCCAGAGAAGGTCAGCAAGTTAGCAGAGAAATGGTGTGTGCACTGACTCTCACCATCTGTGAGGTTGAATGAGAATGGCCCCACAGTCTCATATATTTGAATGCTTAGTCTCCAGTGGGTGGGGCTGTTTGGGAAGGATTAGGAGGTTGAACCTTATTGAAAGAGATGTGTCATTGGGGATGGTTTGAGGTTTTAAAAGCCAATTCCATTCCAAGTTAGCCTTCTCTGCCTTGTGGATTTGTCTATCTCAAGATGTGAGCTTTCAGCTACTGCTCTAGGGTCATGCCTGCCTGCCCGCTGCCATGCTCCCTGCCATGCTGCTCATGGACTATACTACTCTGAAACTGTAAGCCCCAATAAACTCTTTCTTTCATAAATTGTGTTGGTATTGTGTTTCATCACAGCAATATAAAAGTAACCAAGACACCATCACTTTGACAAAACCAGAGACGATTCCTTCTTGAGAGAGATGCAAGGTTTACAGGAAGCCGTGGATGTTACAGTACTGATACGGTTATTTGTATAAGTGGAAAACAAAACCCAGCAACACGCTACCCAAATCTCAAACCAAAGTGAAACAAACTTAAAGTAGAGTATGGTATTTAATCCAGTAATTTGCATCTGGAACTTAAGTCAATTGTGGAGTGTTCGGAACTGCATTGTAAATATGCTGAAATGGGTAGCTGGATTACATAAATTTGCAAACACATTATCACATAAGGTAAGTGGCATGCTTACTTGGAGATAGCTGAGGGAAGGAAACATCATAATTTACACATGACCTTCATAAGGACAGCTTTGTCATGAACAAAAGAATTCCATGTCCTTGTTACACAGGATCAAAGGAAGACCTGTTTATTAATCCGGACTGCAAAAATACAAAATACGGGACTCGGGAGATGCCAACCACATCAATTTCTTGCTAAGGATCATCACTGAAGGACACAATGGCACTCCGGTCTACCACTTAGTGGGGTCACTGAGAAAGTGCAGACATTCAAAGACACTGAAGAGAGAAGCTGGGGTCACAGGGGTGCCAAAGGAGCCAGGCCCTCTCAGCAAGTGCCCAATCTACCACTTGACTTACAGGTGGGGATTTTGAAACAAGTACCCTTGGGGATTTAAAAGTCAATCAAGTCACCTCCATGCATGGATGGTCATAGAGGCCGCCATGGGAAAAGCTCAGGTAGACATAATAGGATTACAGCTCTTCAGTTTGAGGAGCAGCCCTGCTGTTTGTGCGTCTTGACATCAGCTGCAAATAGCACGGTTGCTCCTAGATACTTGTGTAAAGCAAAAGGAGTGACTGGATCGCCTCGTCTGCTAGGTGTGGACTGAGTGGAAGGTGGGGGGTGCAACCTCAAAAAGAAAGGTTTACAAGTATTAAGTCAGTTCTAAAATCTCGACCGATTCAACACTGAAGTTTAAAGGAGCAGATCTCTGGGTGTTTAGGAATAGTTATATAGCGGCAATATGAAATTATTGCTTAATTGAGACATCTTTTTAAAATTTGGAATTTTAAAATTTATTTAAATTACTCAGTATAATACATTACATTATTTAGATTTAAATTCTGTCTTTAGAACTTACAAATCTCATTACAGTAAAATAATTAAATTTTATCTAGAATTTCAAACATATTCTAGATGAAATGCCAGTGTTGAGTCATTCCAACTAGCGTTAGGATCTGTGTAGAAAGAGGTAAAGCTGATGATACTCAGTCTATTTTTGAAACGCGCTCTGTTTGTTTAGTGTCCTACACCAGGGGCCAGCCTGAGTTCTCTTCACCCCCCCCCTCTGCCTCCCCTCCCCCACTCCTCCCTGCTTCCTAAACCCATCCTTGCCCTGTCTGTCTGTTCTTCAGTATGCTCTGGTACCAAGGACCTGAGAAAGGCCCCAGCTCCCGTCTGTAGCCCCGTGACCTAACTCCTCTCCAGACAGCATTGTCTCCAGCACTTCTTTGGTAAACACCAAGGCTCTTTTAAAGCCTGATCTTGATGGACTGTTCTACAGTCATCTGTCACTGCTTGCTGTCAAGCTTTTGAGATAGCGGTGCTGTCTGCCCTAGCCATCTGCACCGCTCTCTACTTCCCCAAACACACCACACTTCGTGTCCCTAAGACTTCCTGCAACTCCATTTTACCTAGGAAGCTTCTTTCTGCCTCAAGCCTTGCTGTGGTAATTTTCAATCCTTTCTGAGGAGTGTTGTTTGCCTAATTGTTCCTAACTCTGGACTTCTCTCAAGAGAAGCAGTATCGAAAAGGCACCGTGCAGAAGGCTAGAGCATTGAGGTCTAACCAATGAGCTTTCTAGTTGCCTGCTAGTCTGGTGGCTTGTTTCTCCATCTGTGTGATGTGAATGCTAAGTGGGTCTGCTGTAAAGGTCATGTGAATAAGGGCAAAGCAAGCACTACATATATAGGGAATATAGATAAAGGCAGGGTGACATAATATAGACAAAGGAAAGCTTTCATCACAGCTCATAGGACGGAGTTCTTGAAATTCATGAAGACTTTAGAGGCAATACCAGCAGAGCCATAGAGCAGTTCTTGTCCTGTGGCTTGTGCTATGTGGTCTCCCCACTGAGTAATACAAGGTGTGTGCTGCACACCAGTTTGATTTACACCATGACAAATTCAAGTATCCATGGAGCATCTTAGGACATATCCTCCATGGGCAGAAGGAGATATTTTAATTCTCAGGAGAGTGAGGAAATTAGATGGATCAATTGATCCTTTCCCACAAGTGATAGAAAAATGCATATTCATAGAATTATGACATGAAGCTAGCTACTCTGCATCCAAGTGAGTGTGGGGAGGAGTGTGGATGGAAGTGACCAGGTAAACAGCACCTGTTGGACTAGAAGCTTTTTTGGCCAGGATTTCATCTGTGGTATGAAAGGCCTAGTGAGAAAAACAAAAACAAACAAACAAACAAAAACCAAAAACAGGTGTCATCACCACACCCCATTGTGAACTTTATCAGAAGTTTCCAGAATACTTGGGTAGTGGGAAGCAGATAGAAATGGACAGAGTGAGACTGGAAGCTCTGGAGCCTGACACCCACTGAAGACACTGCCTTGGGGGATAAATGGTGGCATAGATGGCAAGCTCTACATGAGTTTGTAAGGGGTGGGTCTCAATAGTTCATCAGCTGGCCTATACTCAGATCCATTGCTGGCCTTCATCTACCACATGGGCAGGAGACAGTGGCAGAGCTTATCATGGGAAGAAAGCCTGCTCTCTGCAGCGAGGCCCAAAGAGGGTTCTCAGGGTGGCTGATGGAGCCTGGGAGAGGGAGACAGAGCTAATGGCTTAGAGACACACTGTTGAGAAAGGGTCAGTGTAGTCCCAAGCAAGGTGTGAAATGGTTTCAGACAGCAGACATTCTCTTTATTTTGGCAACCAATGGGAAGTAGAAGTGTGACCTCTTTGACCCCATATGCCTCTCATAAAGCAGAAACTGCTGGGGAGAAGCCTAGGAGAAAGATCCACCTTACTGCTTTAGGAGAGGCTCTCATAGAGTACCACTGGAATACAGACACCCGTGTGGCAGCCTGCCCCAGCCCTGTAGATGAAGTTTTTTTTTTTGTTTTGTTTTGTTTTTTTTTTTTTTGACCCACCTGGTTCCGCAGCCATTTAGTCCCAAATAAACACACAGAGGCTTTATTAATCATAAGCTGTTTGGCCAACGGCTCACATTTCTTATTGGCTAGCTCTTTCTTAATTATGAACACATTTTTATTAGTCTATGCATCTCCATGTAGTCTTGGCTTACCGGAGAATGCCTGGACCTCTTGCTCCCTAGCAGCTACATGGTGTCTCCCTTGCAGCTCCCTCTCTGTCTTCCTCTTCCCTGAATTCTACCAGTCTGGTAGCTCCATCTATACTTCCCGCCTGGCTACTGGCCAATCAGCATTTATTCATCAACCAATAAGAGAAACATATATTCACAGCATACAGGACATCCCCCATCACAGCACTGGTCATCTATCTTCAGCAACCAACCCATGGAAATAACATCTTCTGCAGGGGCTGACCGGATGTGGTGAAACATGTGGGAGCCCTTTGAAAC